GCGCGACAGCTGTCCCTACCGCTCCGCCCCTCCTGGGCTCTGTTTTGCCTCTTTTTCCCTTACTTTCCCTATTGCGCTTCGCGCCCGGCCCCGTACCGGTCCCTTACGGGTGGTCTCCCGATAACCCCCTACACGCGCCCCCCGAACGCGCGCGCTCTGCCAGAGGGGGATCCCACCCCTTCCCCCTCAGTGCACGACAGGACGGACGCGTTCTCAGCCCATGTGTCGGGTAAATGTTTGAAGGCGTGATGGTGTCCTAAGCCTTTGATAATGGCATCGACGGTTACTGTTTCGTCGGCAAATATGTTTGGGTATTGTGCAAGACGCACACGCATACGTAGCGCTCTGTGTTTTTTGATGTACTCGTCGACTGTGGTGTCGGGGCCCCCCCCCCCCCCCCCACACCCGCCCCCTTTCTGCCCCCCCGCAGCCCCTCCGCGCGCTGCTCAGTTGACGTTCGCGTCAATGCCGTAGCCGTGGTCAGAGAAGAAGCCACGCGCGCCCTTGGTGTGGAGCCCCGTCCAGGGCTCGACGACCTCGAAGCGGCCATTGATGGTGAGGTTGAAGCCGCGCTTCACGAACTGGCGCACGCGGTCCGGTCCGGGGCCGTCCATGACGTTGTTCCCGTCGACGTCTGTATAAAAATAGCCGTCGGCGCCGCCGGGGCACAGGCTCTGCGCGAGGACCATGCGGCGCGCCTTGATGGAGCGGTTGAGGCCGACGGACTTGTAAAACTTGCCCGCGGTGGTGAGGCCCAGGTGCGTCACGACGTCCGGCTCGGCCACCGACTTGAAGCCCGTGTTCGGCAGCTTGAACACCACGTCGAGCAGCGACGTCCTGCTGCGCGCGCGCGCGCACATCGGCACCAGCCGCCACTCCTCGTACTGCCCGATGAGGATCGGGTTCCGGATCTCGAACGCGGGGTCGGGGTTGTCCGCGTCGAGCACGTTGAGCGAGCGGAACGCCTCGGGCAGGCCGTTGGCGGCCTGCTCCGCCGCGATGGCCGCGTCGCGCGGGAAGATCGGCCGGAACGTGCGCCCGCCGAGGAGACGCACGGCCGCGAAGCCGAAGTCGCCCTTGTGCTGGATGTCCATCAACAGCTCCTTCGTCCGCCGGTGCACCACCGCCAGGTTGACCGTGTGCTTGGACACGGACACGCGTCGCAGGCTGGACTGCGTCACGTGCAGGTTCATGTAGAGCAGATACTCCCCGATACGCAGCACAAAGCCCTTGAAGCCCGTGTCCACCTCGTTCTGCCGGTTGGTCTTCCACGCCGTGTACGTGAACTTGGGCTTGTAGTCCATCAGGTGGTACGGCGACGAGCCGTGCTCGTGGTCGTACGCGCTGTGCGTGCGCGCATTGGAAAAAAATGGCAGAGGCAAAAGACAAACAGTTAGACCGCAGTTGGCACACATCCTCACACACACAAACAGCAGCAACGCTCTAGTTGTCTTGCGCTTGCGCTTTCCGCGGCGCGAAAACTTACCACCAAAAGCATGGGTCCCACGCCGGATGCCAGCTGTGGAACTTGACGCCCCTGGTATCCGCGTCCTCCTCATTATCATCCTCGACCATCCACGAGTCGTGCAGCGCGGTGGGGCACTTTGTATTTGGGCGGATAACCGCGCCGTTAAACGTGCCTACCGGCGGGCTGGGACTTCCGTCTGCCTCTGCAACGAGCAAGTTGAACGAGCCCCGTACCTGGAGCATGGAGATACGCTGCCTGATAAACGAGCTCTGCGGAATGTCAACAAAGTCGCTACTGCCAGTATCCCTCGCGAACGCGTACGCATACCTAGGCATCTTGCGCCGGAGCGTCTCGTGCACGCCATACTCTATAGTGGCGGCACCCTCGACGCGCTCGACCCAGCCCACGGAGCGCCATCCGCGCAGGGCGACGTCCTTGTCGGGCTGGAACATGTCGCCGGGGACGTCGACGAGCAGGTACACGATAGCGGAGCGCTGCAGCGTGATGCGGAAGCTGGTGGCGTCCCGGAAGTTTGCGAGGTGGAACAAGTCCAGCCCGCGGAACATGCGCGACTGTCGGTCGGCCACCGGGGCGTACGTGTGGCCTGTGTAGCGCGGCAGGTAGGCCAGGTGCTCCTTGTTCGGCGACGACAACTCGTACGTCCACGACGACACCAGCACCGGCGTCCACGCCGGGCTGTACGCGGGGTGCGCGGCGCACCGCACCGCGGAGTCGGTCGCGCGCATGGCGGCCGCGCAGAGCACGAGCAGCGCCGCCACAAGCATCCGTAGGGGGGCCATTTTTTTTCTCGGAAGGGATGCGGCGACTGGCGTGGCGGAGGCTACAACGCTTCGTTAGTGAGGCTACGTCGAGATCAGGTCGGGCGCCGCCGGCAGCCGCGCAGCTTCTTATACCAGGGCGCGGCAGCGCCTTCGCGCGCGCGCGGCGCGGGTGCCGCAGCCCGGCAGGACGCGCGAGCGCGGCGCGGGGGGGCGAGGCGC